TTCAAATCTGCTGCCACTGGAAAAAAAAAACCCCAGAGATTTGGCAGAAATGAAGTGAACACCCCGAGTCATATGACTCAGAATATCTGAGTGAATTTTGTGGAGGGTTTCTTCCCCCACCCCGGGTCATTATTTAGTTCCCTCAGAGYAGAGCTCTCCACTGACTAATTCATCCCACCCCGAGGTTTTAAACCCCAATGTGGCTTTATTTGTTTGTCCAGCATTCAATCTCCTGGTGGTGTCTGAATGTTATCAATCGGTTCAGCAAATGTTTGTCCTCCTCCATATGAACAGCTCCRGGAAACTTTGCTTTGGAAGCTTGATGTTTAAAAAAGGAGGGGGGCAGTCTGGGGATGTGGCTTTTTGCTAATTAAGGAGGATACTGCCAGGGGCTKGTGATGTTGGATTTGTGAAACACASAGCTGGAGGGAAGAGTAAGAACTGAGATGACAGGAGGAGTTTCAGACCAAAGTAACCTGCAGATTGTGATCCTGAAATAGAGCAGCAAATGCTGCTGATGCTCTGTGGAGGAAGGATTTGTTTTAAACTGTCATTTTCCCTCAAAAGTCTGGTTTGAGGGAAGCGTTTCAGACTTCTCTTATCTTTGTTGAGCTCTGTGGAGAACGTGGTTGATTCTCTGAAGCCMCTTCTTCCCCTTTGTTCTCTTTTTTTCCCAAGAATTGAATCAAAGGATGTTCAGGTCGGTGCGATGCTGGGGGAAACTGCTCAGGGCCAGGCTGGGGGGRTTGGAAAAGGCAGCTTTAGTTTAAGAAGCTGACAAGTCCCAGTGTCCCCAGATGAAGGAAGGACACTTGTAGGTTTAATTTTTTCCTCCCAGCTGGAGGCAGAGGGACAGGAGGAGCTGTGCTGGGATGTGTGTGTGTGTGTTGGAACAAACGCTGCTCACAGCCCACGGGGAAGGTCAGTGTGCTTCAAATATCCCAAAAGGCATTGTTTGAGTTGGGAGAGGCTGCTCAGAAATCACCCAGCCCATGTGCAGAGCTCTCTGAAGAAAGCACTGTGGAGTTTTATAAATGTCGTGGGTTTGCCCTTTGTGGATGTGTTCTTTTCATTAATGGGACAAAACCCTCAGTGCAGTCCTTGAGGTTGGTGTTTCCCTGTGTTTAGGGACAGATCATTGTTTTCCCATTTGAATTCTGAAATACTGATGCTCCCTGRAAAAGGCTGGAAATTCAGATGAGGTGGAGACTTCTGGATGCAGCCTCCCTCCTCATGTTCCACGTGAATTAAGATTTTATAATTAACAGGCCATTGCTGGGTTTAAAGTGAGTGGGAAGCTCCCATCCATCCCCGGAGCTCAGGTGTGACAATTCTCTGTTTTCACTCCCTTTTCTCCTGGCAGATGATGAAGTTTGCCTGGGATAACTACAAGCAGTATGCCCTGGGGAAGAACGAGCTGCGCCCGCTGACCAAGAACGGCCACATTGGGAACATGTTCGGTGAGTTGGGCTTGGTTTTTTTGCATTTTCACTGAGCTTTTCAAGGCCACGTGTCCAGGGCAGCTCCTCTCTCTCTCTCTGCCCTGCAGTGAGGTGTGTGTAAAGCTTTGATCTGGTCTCTTTTTCTGATTGTGAAAAGCCAAGCTTTGGTTCCGTGTCCTGGAGGTGACCTGGGAATGTCACCCCAACTCCCAGTCCCARCCTGGGCCACCTCTGTGTGCAGAGCCAGCACCAAACGTGCTCGGGAGCAGTGCTGGAATCAAAGTGTCTTTATTAAAACATGAAGCCAGCCCCAAAGCTGACAATGCTGCTATTTGTCTGAGCTCGTAGGCTTCAGGACCTGGGCAAATTGAGCAGTTTCTCTCTTGTTTCTCCACTGTTGAGCAAGATGTGAATGCCATGAAATATTGAGGGAATCAATATTAAGAGCTCTTTATACTATGTGCTAACTGGCTTGTATAATTTTACTCTTTAGCAGATCACCTTTTTTTATGTGAGCCACTTTCCGTGCTGTTCCCCTGCTCCTTCTGGTGGGATATTTGTTGTATTTTGGGGGTTTTTTGTTGGCTTTTGGGGGTATAAATTGTCTTTTTCCTCCTGTGCACTCAGCATTTCCTGCTCTGCTCCCTTCCCTGCCCATCCCTGGGAATTCCTGCTGTGCAGAGGCCTCTGGGCTCCTTTCCAAGGGATCTGTTRTGCAGAGATTATCTCCTGGAGTTCCTCAGCCAGATTAGAGCAGAGCAGAGTTCCTTAGCGGGCAAATTATCCGTGAGCTGATTTCCTCTGTGCACTGGGAGGGCTTTGGAGAGCATTTCCTGTCCTGTTTTGCCCTCTGTAGGTGCCCAGATCCTTCTCCAGGACCTGAGGAGGATCTTTCAGTCTGCTTTGTGTGAACCCCAACCCTAATCCTGCCCAGTTTTGGGAGCTGAGGTGTGGGAAAGGGAACTGTGAAGGTGGAAATGGCATCAGATATCTCTGGTGAGAATTGGGGTGATCTCTTTAGGGCCTTTCAGCACCTGAAGAGGAGAGCAGGAAAGATGGAGAGCCCATTTATGAGGCCCAGGAGTGGCAGAGGGAAGGGTTGGATGGGATAAAAGGGGAAATTTCTTTGCTGTGAGGCCACATCAGAGCTGCCTGTGCAGTGCTGGGCTGAGAGAAAACCCCGTTAAACAGTGAGGAAAATCAGGGCAGCAGGTTTGGGATTGTCACCAGAGCCACTGCTCCTGCCCAGCCCCACTCTGCTGCTTTGGGTGGCTTTGGCCTCTGCTTTGCTCTTTCACCCCTCCASCAACAGCAGCTTCTTTACTTGAGCATTTCCATGGAGTTCAGCAGCGAGTTCAAGCATTTTGCTGCTCCTCCACTCTGGCAAGCCTGTCAAAATTCCTCAAGGAGCGTGCCAGTAAACAGACAAAAATATTGAAAGCTTTAAAATGCATTTATCATGCTAAAACAATTGACAGTACTTATGCTTGTTTGTAGTGTGCCTGTGAGCACTCTCAAGGAAAATGCTTTGGAGCAGGAGGATTTGCAGACAATTGCAGAAAAGCAGCTCCGTGGCACATTTCAGCTTTTTAATAGGCTTTTCCTCTTTTTAACTGTGCCTGCTAAAGGAGGGCAGCATCAGGCAGTCCCTTGTTGCAGCCCTCTGTCCCCTGTGCCTGCAGAGASTTTTAGAAATGAGCACAGGGTGCTGTGACCCTCCATTGTCACTCATTGTCCCTCCTGTCACATCTTGAGCCTTTTACTCCAAACTCCAGATTGAAAGGAGGCAGAGCAGCCTCTCTCCAGGCTGCAAATGTCAATATTAAGCTGTGATTTCTCTGCAGCTGCTTCCATGTGGGAGGGGAGGAGCCTTTTTGGGGTTGTTTTCCAGTGTTTGTGTGCATGGACGCAGTTCCTCAAGGGTGACACATTTTGCTGCTCACTTGGAGCCTTCAGTTTGGCAGCCTCAGCCTGGGGGGAGCTGCTGTGGATCAAAAATTCCCTCTAATCCAAGCGGAGAGAAAAATGAACTCTGAATTCTGCTCCTGACAGCCAGGAGGGAGCATCCTCCCCATTTTCCTGCCCAGGTAGGAAAACTCTTAACTCCCCARCCCAGTTAATCTCTCCATTAGGAAAAATCCTTCTTTGATTTATAAACCAAGCCAATTTGCTCTGAAATCAGTGACAGCCAGTAAATACAGAACCATGCTATGCTGTTGGGTGTTTTGCACCACCTAAATGCACGTTGGGGTATTAATTTTAATTTAAAAATAGCAATCCTTCATCAGGTTTCTCCCCCTTTCTTCCTCGAAATCATGCCTGAAATCACGAATTGCCTCGTGGCAATTGGAGATCCATGGCAATTGGAGATCCATGGCAATCCAGAGATCCAACTTTGCTTTTTCCCAGGTATTTTCCAGCTGCTCCACAGGCAGCATTCCCACTCTCCTGGATTTTGATCTTGGTCTGATGTTCCTGCCTGTGTTTGGTGTTCTCTTTTGAAGGCATCACTTTCACCGAGGTTTGTGGACAGAGTTTATTTGCACAGAACTCCTGTGATTGCTGTCATTTACAACCACCACAGCTCCAGAACCCTTTCCTTAAACCCACAAGCTGTGCTCCTTTCATCAGCATTAATAATTCATCCATGGTGCTTGTGAGAAATGTGCCACGCTAAAACATCCCAGCCCGTGCTGTTCAGTGGGGTAAACACGGGTTAGCCTTTCAGATGGTGATGATTTCCCTGGAAATGGTGCTGTGGAAGTGGGCAAAGCTCCACGAGGGTTTTAGGGATGATCTGTGCTGGATCAAACCCCACATCACGAGATTCCAGAGGCTCCAAATSCTCCTGAAGATTCACAGCTCAGGGGGGACAGGTTTGTCTGTGAGATTTCCCTGTGGAACTCGAGGAAAAGCTGCAAAATGTCAGCCACTGTTCAAATCACACCCCAAATGTGCTGATTTAGGAGCATTTAGGGAAAATGGCAGAGCTGAGCTCGTGGCCAGGGGCGAGTCTGCAGGTACACACTCTGCTCCCAGTGCTGATGCTGATATTTTAACCCATCTCCCTCATCTCAGCGCTCCTCCCTGGTGCTGTAAACACCAAATTCCAAATTCTCTGCTGTTTGCAGATTCTGCTGGCTCCCCAGGAGCGGGGCTGCCAGCAAGGGCAGCAGTTGTGTGTGTGTCACAGCCCCTAAAATGCACCTGTCACCAGCAGCTCCAGAGCTGGATTATCATTCTGCCCGCTCCCCAGCTCTGTCAGAGCCACTTATTTTTTTCTGACAAAATGTTTTTAAAATCCTGTTAGCTCTACAGAGCTTCTGTAGCTACGGGAGAGTGAGCTGGCATCTCGTTCTGCTCGTGCATCAGCTGAATTGTCACTTACATTTTGATTGCACAGTCTTTTAACAATGATAAGGTAAGAAGCCTGATTTTCAGATATCTCTTGAAGTGTGCAGTGCTGGCAGCAGAAGAATCCTTCTTTGACTTMTAACCCGAGCCAATTTGCTCTGAAATCAGTGACAGCCAGTAAATACAGAACCTTGCTGTGCTGTTGGGCGTTTCRCCCCACCTAAACGCACGTCGGCGTATTAATTTTAGTTTAAAAATAGCAATCCTTCACCAGGTTTCTCCCCTTTTGTTCCTCGAAATCATGCCTGAAATCACAAACTGCCTCGTGGCAGCCATTGGTGCTCTCAGCATATGCTGAATTTCTGCAGAGTGGAGAGGCTGTGTGGCTTTAGCTGGGTGACAAATGTCCCAGCCAGGTGACCCCAAGCTCTGCCAGCTGCTGCCTTTGAAGGACATGAGCTGTTGTCCCTTTTTTTCCCCATATTTGATGGCCTGGGGACAGGGCACAGAGTGGAGAAATTCCTGGAAAAGCCCGAGGCTGCTGGGCTTTGTTTGTGTGCTGGGCTCAGACTTCGACCAGAGCTGTTTGCTTTGAAGGCAGGAGGTCCATGGGGCTGTTTTGGCTCTCCAGGAGAAAAAAGGGATGAAAAAGCTGAGGAGGAAAAGCAGTGATCACAGGAATATATCAGAGAGGCCTCTGGAAAGGAYTGAAATGATTGTCCTGAGTTTCAGAACCTTTCAGGTTTGTTCTTCCTGGCAAATCCCCCGGKTTTTGTCACTGCCCTGTGGCACCGTGACCTGCCAGGCTCAAATCTGGATGGAGATTCCAGGAATCCCATGGCAGATTCCAGAAAAACCCACTGGATTTAACCCCACCAAACTCCTGTCCCAGCAGCTCTGGGGCTCTGAACCCCAAAACCTCCCCGTGCCAGAGTCAGTCCCTCCAACCACCCAAACATTTTCCAAAGAGCTGCTTCCTCCATCCAGGATTTAGGATTAGGAAACACCCCCACCTCAATTAGGAGCRACAGGAGCTGGGCTGTGAATTTATAAGGTAATTGAATGAAAATATTAATTCAGCAACATCCCAGCTACCRGGAGAGAAATGGGAACCTCCAATTGTGCAGTCACTTGCTGCACCTTTTCTCTTCTGTCTCTGGGTCTCTCTCCCTGTGATCACAAAATTGCAAAACCCTGGAGAGTCCTTTTATGTGATTAAAATAATAATAATAATGGCTCTCTTAATTTCTATGCTGAATTATTCCTGCTGTCTGTTGCACATGACATTGGATGCTTGGCTCCRTGGGCTCTTTAAAGAGAAAAATACTTTGTAATGAAGATATTGCTGGAACTCTGTTGCTCCCTGGCATCATCATCTTTTTTTTTCTTTCCTTTCATGTATAATTTTCCCCAGATGAATAATTTTCAGGAGGGCATTTTGAGTTGACTTTGGCTTTTGCTGTCAGTGAAATGTGCAGCAACAAACTTATTTCCTGGCAGCAGGAAGCAAGGAACCAGGATATCCTCCAAATCCCAAACTCTCTGGAGTCTGCTGCGTGTTGGAGCTGACATTAATCCCTTCTGTGGGGATGTTGTGTTTTTCCCCTGTTTTTTCCTCTGTTTGGAGATCACTCCCAAGCTTGTTCTTAATCCTGTCCCCACTC